ACATCATCACAACAGAAGAAAAAAATTCAAACTGTTCAAGTGGCAAAAAGTTGTGGCTCTCTATCAGGGAAGAAAGACACAATAAATATAAGTGAAACGCATTCAGGCTGAAATATGGAACTAAAGAAATGTGACCAAAAACACAAGAGACGGAGGCTGTGGAAAAGCATTATGATTCCATCTTCAATGCTTCCATTAAAAACCCCTGAAGTACAACACATATAATACTTCGAACAAATAAGTGCACACACTGAGCACATGTTTTTATGTATATTTATAACTGGAGAACCACCAACCTGATCATGACATGCGTTTCTGTCCCTTAAGCCAGTACACATAGGTCCCTTCCTGTGGATATTCTATCAGAAGTATACACTGCCTCAACCACTGGTTAGCTTTTGCTGTTTCTGAATGCCACATATATGCAACATTCCAGTATGTGTCCTTTCGTCTTTACCAAGGTAAAGACACTCAATATCACATCTAGGAGACTTGTGTTATGTGGAGCAGCACTTTCCAAAGCGACTGTACAAGAACCATCACGCTTGTTTAGATTTATCCTAGTGGAGGAAACATTTCACTTTGCACTTGGTGGGCTGCAAATGCTTTTCCCTTGCCAGGCAAAGGAAATGGAATATAAATTTAACACTTTGATTGAAACCTCAAGCTGAAAAACAGGAGTTGACCACAGTCCTTGCGTCTTTATAAGTCTATTGATGAAAGCCAGATTTAGGAAATAACAAATACCAAACAGAAAACTGGCCTTTAATTTCAGACTTGCCTTCCTAGTAAGGACCACCCATGTTACACCAGACATGTTACTAAGCAAATCCTTACCAAGACTTTTCTTCCAGATTTTGTGAAAAAAGCAAATATAGTGTGGAAGATGTTTTCTTGTTCTTGGGGGATGATGCAGGGGGTTGGGTTTCTCTGGAAAGAGCAGTTTCCCTTCTCTTGGCCCACCTGAAATAAAGAGAGGCCTGTCAGAGTAGTAGGTCCCAAGAACAGAAATTCCTAGCAGACAAGCCATTTTTTATTTTTTGTATTTTTAAAAATAATTTTTATTCATTTTAATGAGAAAAAAAGATGAAACAGTTTCAAAACAGGTTGGTTGGACATTTACAATAATTCATACATTGCATATTGTTCTCATAGTTATTTAGAGGATAAGATGCAGACATATCTTGTCTACACAATATTAGTACAAATTTTTATTCTCAGTGAACGAAGAGAAAGTAGCTGTATATCTATCCTAACTCTCTTGCATATACATATATATATATAATGTTTTTCCTCCCCTTTTTTTCACAAAGGAAACTGTCCTTTATTTACACTTTTGTGACAACACGTGACATTAGGTTGCTTAACAACTGATAGCAAACCTTAACCAGACAGGATGGTCATCTCAGGACTGAGGTAGCTTGCTTGCTTTAGGCACTCGGCCAAGTCCCACCTACATATATTTGATGGATTTCCTAGCTTCGTGGCTCCCAACATATTTCCCCTTTTCACTTTGTTTTCTCAGAGATGGGTGTTCCACCACAGTTAGAGAAGCTGTATTTGGAGAAGTCTTTTCATACTTGAAACCAGTCCAAAGACTGTAGGTACTTGAATTCAGCAAAATAACCCAATATAGTCCAATAGTTCATAATAGTAGTGGGTTATCGGCAGAATTGGCAATTGTCAGAAGTTGTTGACTTGAGCCTTTTATAGCTCAGCATATTAATATGGCTTTACTTTTTATACCTCGTGGTCATACTTTTCTGCTGGATGGTTAAGGCCAAGTTAAAGACCTATATAACTAAAAATGTAACTTTTGCATCTGACAAGGTCAGCTATAAAGAATGATAAACTCGAAGCATTCATATCTAGGTGGATGCAACTTGAAGATATACTCCTAAGTGAAATAAACCAGATCCATGTGCGTAAATATCATATTGTCTCTCTAGTGTAAGAACTCATAAGAATAAAAATTGAAAGGTATAACACAGTTAAATGGAAAGCAAGAACTTAAGGTGATTTTTTGTTTTGTTTTTTGTTTTTTGTATTTAGGGAAGGGCCTACAGGGTGTTCAGGGTCTCACTGCTAGATCGGAATCATAGTGATCCACCTGTTTACAGCCTCCCAAGAGCTGGGATTATACGCATGCGTCACCATGCCCAGTCACAATTGCTGTCTCAGCGTGTGGGGCAGGGGACGGGGAGCAGGGGCAGGGCAGGCACTGCAGGCCTGGGGATCGAACCCCTGACCCCTGTGCTGCTTGCTTTAATCCACTGAGCTATTTGGCCAGTCCTAAGGCATTTGTTTTTGTAAAGATAGGTCCTGCTGTGTTTTCCAGGACACCCTCACACTCTTGGTTCAAGCAATCCTTCCATCTCAGGTCTTTGAGTAGTTGGGACTACAGATAGCCTGTCAACCCAGGCTCTGGCTGACAAGTTTTAAGTACAAGTTCTTGTATCAAAATGAGCAAATAATACAAAATGTTCATCTGCTGTCCCTACATAACAGATAAGATGACAAACACTATGCAGATGAGACGTGATCAGGAAGTTTTTGCTGGGCACATTTACAATCATCAGAGCAATTCTCTCAGGCACTGACACTGTCTGTCTGGGTGAGGAAAATGAGACTCAGGCAAGGACATTTGCTAACAAGCACACGCTCAAGAGCTCTCTGGAGCTCAGGACCTCTGACACATGGAGGTCTCCATGCGGACCTTATGCATGGTCCACTGCCAGCACCTTTTAATGTGTCCCATAGAGCCAACAGAAGCTGCTAACCAGAGAAACCCTGCTTACAAGACAAAGGGATCTGGCATGGCTGTGGTCCTCATCGTGGTTCCTGCTCTATTTCAACTAGAGTATCTACCACATATGATGCTACTTAAAACTAGAGTTCTACTACCAAGAAAGAAAAAAACAAACCCAAAAAACCAGGACAGCCACAGCACTGAGCCAGATAACAGTACACCCAGTGAGCTCTTGGTGAGGTAACTCATTTGGCTCCCATCAGCAAGGTTGGTTTCTTTGAAGACAACACTCTTTGACATCTATATTGAGGAAGTGTTGAACAAAACAACTCCTTTTTGTCCATCATTCTATCACATGGGTAGCTGAAGACTTGACAAGATGTAGGGTCAGGTCCAATAATTAACAATGAGGATTCATAATTTGGGATTGTATTCACAGTTGTAACACTAATCAGTCATCTATTTAAGCTTAGCTTTAATGCGCTAGAGTAAAATATAGGGCTTCTGAATTTATTCAAGAATTTTTCATGAAGACTTTAAATTTTTTATATAAAAATATAATTTTTTAATATAAGAGACTCCTAACTTAAGACTGCTCATCTGTTAATAATGAACTATAAAATGAGACCACCAAAAATTGCTAAATTAATCCCTATTTTCATCTTTGGTCTGAATAAATTCTAGTACTTACTACATATACTTGAAAATAAATAAGATGAAGCTCTACATTTTCAAATTATTAGAAAAGACAATGTTGCCTTTAAAAGTATCTCATGGGGCAGGGGAGATGGCTCAGTGGAACAAGCGCTTCCCTGGCAAGTGCAAGGGTCTGAGTTCAATCCCCAGTTCCACCAAAAAAAAAAAAAAAAAAAAAAAAAAAAAAAGGATCTCATAGTTTGAGACTTGTCCTTTAGATGTCCCCATAATTTGGGATACTCTGAATTACTCTCTTTGAATCACAACGCTTGGAAAAGACGCATCAGCCTGAGAAGATCTCAATGCTGGTTTTGGACAATTTTGGAGGTTACAAGAGGAGCTAGTAGAAAAGAAGAAAAGAAGCAATGAAGATTAAGGCAGATGTGGTGGCTGTTCTTTGGGTATAATTATGAAACATTATGATAAATATTTTGAAGCTCAATTTAGAAAGCAATACATACATTACTTATGTGGTAAGGTTCATGAATATTCCCTTAAAAGACAAATGGAAAAAACAGCTGCTACAATGTCATGCAAATGGATATTTGGGTTGCAATAAAATTTCAGCATCAAATATGGATTCAAGAGATTATGCATTTCAAATAAAGAAAAATACTGAAAGGACATAATGTAGAAAAGCGTTGACTAAAAAAGTGGCTTAGTAATAATATACATTGATCTCAGAAGATGCATGTTTGAATAGTGAAATGTGAACAGAAGAGTGGTATAAGTAAATGTATTACTCTTATATATTTTAAAGCATACAATTATATAATTTAAATATTATGAGTAGATAGTTTACTATTTATTTTTGTAATATTTTAAAATTGAAATAAAATTTACATTCTCTATGGAGCACAGATCTTAATGGTGCAGTATGGTGAATTCTGACAAATGAGGTCTCCCAGTAACCACACCCTCATGAAGGCACAGAACACTCCCATCACTCTGATCCACTTGGTGTACTCTCACCCCACACCTCAATTTTTATTAAGTTGATTTTTAATTAACAGTTCTGATTTTTATTAAGTTGGCAAAGAAGGGAAAAAGGAGAAAGAAGGAAGAAAAGGAGGGAAGGCGGGAAGGCGGGAAGGTGGGAAGGCAGGTAGGTGAGTAGGCAGGCAGGCAGGCACACAGACTCATTGGCTGGCCGGCTGGCTGGCCAAGAGAAGAGAAAAAAGTTAAATTTACTTCATCAGGGAAGTGGGGTTTGTGTTAATTGGAAGTTGACCTATATTTGGGCAAACACAGAATGTGGTAGACAGAAAGCATTTATGTCATGGGACATATGAGAATCCGGATGAGCATGGCCATGTTCTTAATTCCCATCATCTTTCTCTGCACCATGTGAGGCTCCTCTTTCCTTATTTGTCCTCTGGACACATAGGTGCTGACAGACTCATGGAAGATGGTCTCCTATAGCCCTCAGGCATGCACATCCCTGTGAGGACCACCAGGCCTGGCTCCCCAATACATTTGGTCCGGATCTAGAGAAACAGAACTCTGAGTCTTGCAGGAAGCATCCGTCCCTAATTGAAATCAGAGATGGGGCGGAGATTCTTCTTGCTCTGCGCTGGGAGCTTCTAGGCAGGGAGAGGAAGAAAAGTCCCAACCTAGTCAGCTCCATGTATGTCATTCGGGTATGAGGAGCTGGTGCTATTAATCATGCCACAGATGCCAGCAGAGAAGGGTGGTGGGCTGGGCATGGCCAGGAAAGGTGGGTAAGAAACAGCTAAGCCTCAGTGTCAAATCCAGAGGTACAGAGAGGGCCCTGAAGTCAGTCTTCCACTTCTAAGGAGACCTTGTAGGGTGGCCTGTGAACAGGAAACTGATGCTGGAGTGATGTGAAACCACATGACACCTAAGCACTGCTATCCTCTCAGTAGAATCTGGAGAAGCTGAAATGGAGTCTGTGGAGAATGAAAATCCGAGCCTGACTGTGGTTACGCGGGCTTCATTTAATTGGGGAAAATGTTTTTCTGGGAGGTTCAGAGTGGTCCCATTTCAAAGGGAGCCTGAAGGTTGCTGGGTGTTGTATGGATCTGAGTCAGACCTGCTAGAATCGAGCAACTCAGTCCCTGACCAGGGTCATTGTAGGGAGTGACCTTCTGTGTGTTGGGTAGATTGAAGATCATTGTGACGATAAAACCTGACAATCCTGACAATCCTATGCCCTTCCCATATGCCAGCTCTAAGTTATTCACACATACTAACATTCAGTCCTCACTGTAGCCCCAGGAAGAGGGTGCCATGCCTACCCTCACTTTACAGATAGAGAAACTGGTACACCAGGAGAGAGAAGGACAAGCAGAGTTTCCCTGGCTAGTTTCTCTGGTTCTGCAGAGCCAGACTGGGACATGCCTGGCTGAGCTGCAAAGGTCTGCACATTACCACGTCCTTGCACTGCTCCTGAGCATAGATGCTGCAGCAGCAGAGAGAAGCACAGGCAGACAGGAACTATTCCTCTCTGTTTGCACCCAGGCCAAAGAGAAGGGACCAGCAACCTTGAAGTCTGGGA